CATGTTGGCATACAGGAGAGACAAAGAAGTCCACACAAACAGAAAGTTTCATACGGTACGCCGGACTACTACACAGCAATGACTTCGGTGTGGCACTGCACCTTCGGAAAGTGCCTCTGCCCGGCAGCGGGGGTGAGGAAGGGTATACAACAGAATGTAACACATGGACTACAACTGGGAAACTGGTTCTGGCTCTACAGCGGGTGCGACGAAGGGGATAAACAGAGTCTAACAGGAGGAGTACTGCTGAGGAACTGGCTATGCTCCTACAGTGCGTGCGAGGAAGGGGATAAAATGCAGTGTAACGTTGGATGTGCTGAAGGGGGCCAAAGGAGGCTAATGTAAATGGCGGTGGGGTACACTGGTCCTCCAGCAGCACGGAGGCCAACTGCTGTGTACTTTACTGCCAAAAACGGATGGTGTTTGCTCGTGTTTAAAGCATGGTAGACATGTGGCATGAGAAGTTTCTGCTAGTATGCTGTCTTCATCACAATTTTGCCTGGGTAATCAATAATGACAGCCCAGGCTGATGTATGGTGGGACGTTGGACTGCTCAGTCAATCCTCTGGTCTCCAGAGTAATCAATGCTGGCAGGACTCTAACATAATCCTTTCTCTAACACATTTCAATTTCAATCTGTATTTGGGACGCTGAACCCGTTTTCCACCAGGTGTTGCTCTCCACCAATGTATGGCTGTCTCTTATACACATCTAGATGTGTATAAGAGACAGTTGTGGACCCGTTTTCCACCAGGTGTTGCTCTCCACCAATGTATGAAGCCTCCCCTCAGGTGCTAAAAAAAAAAAAAAAAAAAAAAAAGGATGGCTCGCCAGTCCCGTGGCTAGAGGGATCAAGGGACTATGTGCTGCTAGACCCGGTCCCACCAGCGCCAGGTGAGGACCGCATTCAGACACTGTAGAAAGATGTGCTCAATGGTTTCGGCCGCTTTTTTGGCCGGGTACACTCGGAGGCATCTGCTGCACCAGGGGAGAGCGCGACCCTGTTGTTCCAGTCTGGTGTGGTTAATCAGTCAGTTATTGGTAGGTAGGCACCTATGGGTTATCTGCCATTGTAGGGAGATGATTTTGGTCGGCCTCCTCTTGCATTCCTGGAACCATCTGATTGGAGCTAGCAGATGTCTGTCAACGTTTAGGTGTCTGTACCAACGCTCATTCATTATGTCTCTTAGATTCCATCTTGGCCTGATCATCCTATATCAGGCTATATGTGGTTTTAACAGAGAGGTTTTCAAGTGTTGTGTCTCTGTGGATGCCACCTTGTGTCGGGCCAGCAGGTTTCCATCTCCACTCAATTGGGTCCAGGCCCAGTTCTGTGATCGGGGTTCCCGGTTTATATACCCTGCGGTTTTCCCCTTCCCCCACCACTCTAACCCGGTCAACTGCTTCCTTGTCTGTCCAGACCAAGGGGGTTGTGCTGTCAATTAGTCTGTTCCCCTTCATTATAGTATAAAACTCAATCAGTACATCGGTGGGTCTGACCAGGTGGACCATCCCGACCCTACCAAGGTCTCCTCTCTGCATCACCCAGTCTCCTTCCTTGTAAACCGGGCCCGTTCTTAGAATATTATACCATTGGAGAGGAAGAGTTCATTATTCCGTCCAGAGTCTCCTGCACATGATGGCAATAGCGCAATTTTTCCTTCATTTGTTCTAGATTCCTCCATGTTCTCGTTCTAACATCCCATAGGTCCTCCACCCTCCATATCCCATGTTTGATCCATCCATTCCATGGAGGGACGGAGTTGCACCTTTCTTGCCCATGGGAGTCCGTGATGCGCCGATTACCAAAGAGGGGTTGTCGATATACTTCCTCCCATCTCTCTGGTTCCAGACGGTCTGGGGGGGGAGCTTGTGCCATATTTTGATCATGCGTGGCCATAATTCTTCTTTTAGATGGCCCTCCCTTTGATCTCCTCTCCCTTTGCGGGGGGGTTTCCAATACCTGTCATCTAGCCATAAAAGCGGGTCCACCCCTGCCGGTGCTTCTGGTGCGAGTCTTGCAATCTGTTCCATGGCTAAAAGGTGTCGGGGTTGGGCGGTTTCCAGGATGAGGTTTTTTATCCGTTGCGTGCTGAGGGCCTAGTTTGGAGAGTCGGATCAATAATCCCCAGGCCACCTTTAGCCTTGGGTTGGATTACTGCGTCCCACGCCACCCTGCTGATAGCGTGCTCGCATCCACTGTCTCTTCTCCACAAAAAGGTTGCTGCCTGCTTCTTGAACGCCTTCAAGACTGTTGCGCTTAAAGGCCAGATACTTGATTTGTACCAAAGTGACGCCATGGCAACATTATTGATGACTAGTGCCCTCCCAAAAATCGAGGTTGGCTTTTGATTCCATTCCTTCATCTTGTCTTGGGCGGGTGACTGGACCCATTCGTCATTCGTGGTTGGTTTTCCGTTTGCTGTCATTTGGACGCCCAACACTCGCACCGTGGCTTCCAAGGGGAACCATTTAATGCGGGGAGCCTCAGGCGGTCGCCCCCCTTGATGGTGCATCCACCACCCCACAGTTTTGGTCCCCCAGTTGACAGCAATGTCTGACAGTTTGCAGAATCGATCCATCAGCCTCTGTATCTCTTCCATGTTTCCCTCCCAGGCATCTGTCATTATTGTAAGGTCGCCGGCGAAGAGGGAGCATACCGGAATGACTTCCTCTGGGATATTTGCAATCTTGATTCTCCTGATGTCCTTGTTATGCCGTAAATTGTCCGACAATGCCTCCATAACTATAACAAAAAGGAAGGGTGCGATGGGGTCCCCTTGTTTGACCGAGCGCTGCAGGGTAATTGCTGGTGTTAAATTCCCATTTATTTGCACACGTGTCGTTGCATTATGGTGGAGGATCTGAACCCATCTTCTCAAATTGGGCCAAAAATTCATTTTCTAGAGGCATGCATCCAGGAAGGTCCAATCCACATGGTCATAGGCCTTCTCGAAATCAATAAAGATGAAGGCCACGTTCTGTTTGGATTGCTGAGCCAGATGGATCATCTCATTGACTAGGAGTATGTTTTCCTGGATGTTTCTGGATCTTATAAATCCTGATTGAGCCGGGTGGATAATATCCTCCATTACCTCAAGCAATCGGTTTGCGAGGGCTTTAGCTAGCATTTTATCGACAACTGTTAGCAAGGTGATGGGTCTATAGTTTTTTATATTGATTTAATCTCCTTTTTTGTGAAGAGAGACAGCACCCCTTGACCCAAACATTCCCCCATCTATCATGTTCTCCATACCGCTGTTCTAACGTTCTCTTCTCTTCTTTCCTCGTTCCATCCTGAGTTGCCATGTCATAGCTCATAACTATGATAATAATAATAAAAAGGCCTGAAAGGTTGTCCTGTCGAGATTAGACAGTTTTTTTTTTTTTTTTTTTCCCCAAACAAAACTTTATTGCACAAGAAAATTGTGTCTGTATCCCACTGAAAGATGGGAATATGTGACAAACCACTTCCCGACCCCGTGCCATCTTTCGTACCCTTTCTTTTGCTTGTATCATACCCACACAAGCAAAACCCCGTTTTGAGTTCTTGCTTTCGGGTGCCTCATTTTCCTTTTTGGAGAGCTTTTTCGACTGCTGAGTTCTGTTTTTCTTCTTGTGAAGTCGGGAAATACATGAGAATTTACGTGCGCCTTAGCAAGCGCACTGGGAATTGGGCTCGGTAGTTGGGAATTCCGGGATAAGCGGAACTTCGACGTGTCCTTTTTGGGTGTGTGAATGTTCTTGGGCGCGTCGGGGAAAACTCTCAGAATTTTGCGTGAATACGAATAGGCGTAGGATTTTCTTTTCCCACGTCGCTTTTTCGCGCGCGGATATGGTGATTTCAATTTTGAATTAGGATAGAAGCAAGCTGTAACTGTTTCGGTGCCTTTTTCTTTTTTTTTTGTTAACAGCACCATGCATGCAAAAGCTTCCTCCTCTCTGTCCCCCCCATCGCTCCCTCCCGCGCCTCCATTCCCATCTCCCTCCTTTTTTTCTCTCCCCGTAACTGTTTTTCCTTCTCCCTCTCTCTCTCTCTCCCGCCTTGCTTTCGCGCGTCCATTTCCCTTTCTTGATCACCTGAATCTTGGACCCGTCTTGCGCCACCTCTCGCGCCTTTTCTCTTCTCATCCTCTACGTTTGGTGTACGACGCCCGGTCGATCCCCCGATAGCTCCCGCTCGCCAATCAGGTGCGTGGATCGATAGGACCTTCCTATCGCGCGACGAACCTGATTGGTTGAACCTTGAGTTCCGAGGGATCAGCATGGCATTCGTAGAGAACTCTTCTCAAAGTGCTTCTCATCTTACACCTCATCTTTCTTGTCGCCTTCTCCCCCTTCTATCTCCCCTGTCGCCTGTGTATCTTTTTAACGGAGAACGCGAAAAATTGAACGCGCGTTCATCCGTTTAACGGGCCCCCGACCCCCGTTGAATCGCGTTAAATGCAAAAACGGGGGTGTCGCGTCGAATTCGGAAAAACGAAATTCACGCGTTGGGCTTCGGACACGTGTACCTACGTGCCCGAACACTAAAACCAGGAAAAAAAAAAAAAAAATTGCCGCCATACCCCCCGCCCCCCACACATACCCCCGGGGGCCCCATTTTCCCCAAAAACAACACTTTCACCCCAAACCCACCTCCGACCTCCAAAGCTGCACAACCACCCCCACTCACCACCGCTCACCCCCGACCCCTACTACCCGGCCACCCCACACCCCCAGGGGCCCCCCCCCCCCCCCCCCCCCCCCCCCCGCACCCACCCACCACCCCCACTCCCCAACGCGTGTCGGATGTCGAACTCCTCCTCCCTCGTGATGATGAAGAAGTTTGCGCAGCGCGCCGTCTGGCTGCACCTTTCGGTGGGGGAGGTGAGGGCTCGTGCTCGTCGTGGTCGTAGTCACCATCGGAACCTCTCTTGCTCTCCTCCTCTCCCTCCTCCTCGCCGTCATAGTCCTTGTCGTCCTCCCGCACTGCCACATCTGTCTCAGGATCATCCTCCTTGATGGTGACAGGGGCTCCTGCCTTTCTCAACACAACAACTCTCGCACTAGCCTCTGTAACCGTCTACTCACGGCGCGATCCACGAGGCATCCCCAACCCCTCTGCCCCCGAAGTCTCTCCAAGTGCATCTCCTCCCTGTACGGGCACGGGGCGTGGACGAGGAGGCACTCCGCGCTTGCGTGGAGTCTGCTCATGTACGGCACACGTCGCTGCCATCAGAGCGTACTCCAAGCTATCGGCGGACACTCCTCTGCCGCGACCACGCTGAGGCTCACAACCAGATGCTGCCACCTCCCTCGCTGCGGTCATCCTGCCGCCGCGGGGTCCCAAACCCGGCTGTAAACGTGCAGTGTGCTCAGTGACATGGCGGGTGGAATCCAAATCTATGTTTGTCCTCCTGAACAATGCTGTGTCACTCACGACCCCCACAACTGCTGTAGTGT